AGCAGGAAAGGGATTAAATAGGAGGGAAGAATGCTGAGCTGATTTAAATCTGGCGTCCTGGTACACCACGGTCGTTTCAGGATTGTGGGAGGCTTTTTTTATGGCTTCTTCCTGCCCTCTGTACTTGAACGTGAGCTGGGAACCGCCCCCTTTGTTTTTAATGCCTGAAGAACTTTTGTATTGTACGTGTGTAATTGCAACATAGAGGTTATCAGGGAGGAACCTGGAGGTTTTGACAGACGAGTAGGATGCAGATGAGTTGATGGCTCCTAGAGGTGTAGGAGGCAAGGGTTGGTTTTGGATTTTTTTTCTGTCAAGTTAGAGGCAGTTGAGTCAGATTTTACACTGGAGAGGGAATATTTGTGGTGGTGAAAGAGCATAGTACCCCAGCAACAAAATCCTCGACACCAAGAGTGCCTGCATCTGCCTGCTCCAGCGTCAGCCACTACTGTGAACATCTGCGCATAAGCGTGTCAGCTAAAATGATAAGTAGTGTATTTCTGTTAAATGTAATCACCAGTTGGTTTCAAAGTTAATGCCCCTTCGGAGCTGTTTTATTCTTAGCGGCATAGTTTCAGGTCTGCCGGCTTGGGAAGACATCTCTGCATTGATTCGTGCTCTGTTCGCATTGAAGGGTTTGCAATGAGAAGGGCAAGCAGTGTGAGCACGAGTGTACTCTTTTGTGTGTGACAGCTTACATTCTGCGGGCTGAGTTTTTGACAGACAGTAGATTCCATGTCACCTCTCTTGGCTGCTGAAATGCAGAATGTATGGGGTGCTGGGTATGACAGCTGAAAGCTAAAAAAAAAAAAAAATGGTTTGGGGGGTTTATCTTAGAATCCCAGCAGCTATGAAAGCCCCATTAAAGATTTATTATGCTTATAGAAGGTGACTTAGAAATCTAACAAAGAAAAAGGAAAGGCTTTGTGGGCACCTCTCCAAGCACCTCCTTTTCTTTTACGAGTTTACAAGATGAGTGTTAAATCCATGTGGCATGATCTTCCTGGTGACATAGCCCATAGATAGCATAGTGCCAGTTCAGTCTGAATCCTGACTCGGGAGTGTCAGAACTCAGATTTTATTCTCTCCAGAATCCAGTATATGTGTATTTTATTTCCAAAGAAACCTACAATCTGTCTGAGTGTTTTGTGCAACTAAAAATGCAGGCAGTTAAAGCTTAGAGTGCCTAAATGATATTGTCTGTTTGTCCCTTGTCCTTTTGTGGGGTTCTGTGACCTTCCATTTCTGAGCAACGTAAGAGATGTGGAGGAAGGCTGCGGCAGCAGCATTAGGTCTGTGTAACTGTTTCATGCTCCTCCTTGAAATGAAGTGAGCTGTGCCAAGAAGAGTATTGGTAAGGGTGTGGCTCTGAAAACTCTCTGTTGTAAAAATGAAAAGCATTAGTAACAAGAGGTAGCTTAAGCAAGAAGCAGCTTTCCCAATATATGTACGATAGCTCAGAGCTGTCTTGAATTTTGTTGGTGAATTGAAGCCCTTGCAATAAACACTGCCTGGCTTTATGAGAAGAGGCTCTAAATTGCATTTTAAAGCCTGTAGCTAGCAGCATAAGCACCAGATAAAGTGACTTGCCTGTGCACTTACACATTTGAAGCTGAAGTGGTGGGATTACAACATAAAGCTAACACTTTTTAATTGATTGTTTTAAGCCTGACTCTAGAAACTGATTGTAATGAGTTGAATCTATGAACAAAACCTTAAACCACCAGAACATTTCTAATTTTGTGAAACAGGAGCAGGTAAAGGAAGTATTTTACCAACTTCAGAGACATTTTTTAAAGCTTTTTTGCAACATGTTTCATATATATTAATGAACATGTAAGTGTCTATAAGGTCATATTTTCTCAGGAAGATTCAGACTTTTAGCAGTGCTTATCTTGTACGTTATTTGTATGCTTCAGAATCCCGCAGAGTGGACACAAACTCCTGCAAAAGTGCACGAGTTCACTTTGTGGTTTTGCACAAGATCAGCATATGCTGAAAACTATTTACATTTCCTCACTTTGTTTCCTTGTAGGCTTTTAGTACCCCTGACCTTCCTGCATCATTCATCAACCAAATCGCCCAGCCACTGACCTCTCATTATGTCCAAGTTAAAGAGCTCTGAGTCCGTCAGGGTCGTGGTGCGATGCCGTCCAATGAATGGCAAAGAGAAGGCAGCTTCGTATGACAAGGTTGTGGATGTGGATGTCAAATTGGGGCAAGTATCGGTGAAGAATCCCAGGGGAACATCTCACGAACTGCCTAAAATGTTCACATTCGATTCTGTCTATGACTGGAACTCCAAGCAGGTTGAACTCTATGATGAAACTTTCAGACCTCTGGTGGACTCTGTTCTGCAGGGGTTCAATGGGACTATTTTTGCATATGGGCAGACTGGGACAGGGAAAACGTACACAATGGAAGGAATACGTGGTGATCCTGAAAAAAGAGGAGTCATCCCCAATTCATTTGACCACATCTTCACCCACATCTCTAGATCTCAGAACCAGCAATACCTAGTTAGGGCTTCTTATTTGGAAATATACCAAGAAGAAATAAGAGACTTATTATCAAAGGATCAGTCCAAAAGGCTGGAGCTGAAAGAAAGACCAGACACTGGTGTGTATGTGAAAGATTTGTCCTCTTTTGTCACAAAGAGTGTCAAAGAGATAGAACATGTCATGAATGTGGGGAACCAAAACCGCTCTGTTGGTGCTACTAACATGAATGAGCATAGCTCCCGTTCCCATGCCATTTTTGTGATCACTATTGAGTGCAGCGAGTTGGGACTTGATGGGGAAAATCACATCCGTGTAGGAAAACTCAACCTGGTGGACCTTGCAGGTAGTGAACGCCAAGCCAAGACTGGAGCCCAGGGAGAAAGGTTGAAGGAAGCTACCAAGATTAACCTCTCCCTTTCAGCTTTAGGCAACGTTATATCTGCCCTGGTTGATGGCAAAAGCACTCACATTCCATACCGGGACTCAAAACTTACAAGGCTGCTTCAAGACTCGCTAGGTGGCAATGCCAAAACTGTGATGGTAGCCAACATAGGCCCTGCCTCTTACAACGTAGAGGAAACTCTTACTACTCTACGATATGCCAACCGTGCCAAAAATATCAAGAACAAACCAAGAGTGAACGAAGATCCCAAGGATGCACTGCTACGAGAATTCCAGGAAGAAATTGCTCGGCTCAAGGCACAGCTGGAAAAACGATCTGTTGGCAAAAGAAAGAAAAGGGAAAGGAGAAGAGAGGGTGGGGAAGAGGAAGAGGATGATGATGATGATGCAGAAGAGGGTGAGGATGAAGGTGATGATAAAGAAGACTACTGGAGAGAGCAGCAAGAAAAGCTGGAGATTGAAAAGAAAGCCATTGTGGAGGATCACAGCTTGGTGGCTGAAGACAAGATGAGACTGCTGAAAGAGAAGGAAAAGAAAATGGAAGACCTGAAGCGAGAGAAGGAAGCAACTGAAATGCTGGGTGCCAAAATCAAGGTATGGTACTTCCGGCTAGAATCTTTGAAGGAATTCCCTGGACGCAGG